CCAAGAGAAACTAAATATGATAAAAAATGAAGCATCTTTAAAAGTGAAACATAAAAGAGCATGATTTTACAAAAGAACTTTTTAAAAATAGACACTTGCATCAACCAGCTGTTTTTTAGAAGAAAATGCAAGCATAGATTTGAGGACAAATATGCATCTTAAAGTCATTCTTAATTGAGGACAATGTATAAACATCGAATTTGGGCAGTTATCAAAAGACAAATGGACTCAGAGATACTGAGATGTTAGATCAGTAAGTTGTAGCTCCGCAATTAAAATGCAGTCAAATGCACCATAACAATGGATATGAGTGTCAGAAAGTGGTATTGTGGAAGTGAGAAGGCAAACAAAAAAACATATTCAAAAATGTAAGGTCAACTAGGGAGAGTTCCAGGCCCCTAGAGGAACAGGGAGGAGACCATTTTTCTGGGAAAGGTTGGGGAACATGCCAGAAACTAGGCTAGCATTTCCAGGGGAAAAGTAAGAAAGCTTAATAGAATCAGACAGTGGCAATTAACAACATAGAAACATTAACTTTTAAAGTCTCACGAAAGATTCAGTCTTTTCGAATTTCCAGTCTGAATTCCAGAATCGCCAATCAGGTTGTAGGACCCCAAAAGCGGTGTCCTCTTGTGACGACCCCAGAAACACAGACTCCAGACCAGACGATGCAATAGAGCAGGAGGTAACTTTATTTCATTTGCGCAAATGGGCCCCCTACTGCTGCAAGCAGCAAGCAAGTGAGAGGAGCCCCGAGCAGCTATCTCACACAGCTTTTAAAGGGCAAAACCACAAAATTAACATATTATAGGCTGGCATAAGTTCATTGGATAATTTTCAGTAGCGGGCCTTGTATGGCAGTCTAAAAGTGGTAATGTTGGTGGAAAAGTACTAGGTCAAAGGGATACATTAGGGGAGGGGGTTTCTAGGAGAGAGGAATAGGTTGCTACGTGCCTTGCAGCTTTCTTTGTTAACCTTGAGCAAGCGTAGGGAAGGGGCTTATCTACAAGGCAGGTGTTCTGTGTATCTCTGGTTAGTAGCTGACTGCTTTCTCTGTGAACCGGTTTACTCCCCATTTCCCAAGGCCGTCTCTGGAACGGTTTGTCTCAGGAGCCCCATTTTTTTATGGTGGCTCTTGGCTCCTTTCAAGGTAGCTGACAAGCAGAAGGAGTTCCTAAAGGAGATTTGAAGCACTTTTAGCAGGACAGTGGGGATAAAGCGTTCATCTTGGATTTGCGGAGAGTCGACATAGAGAATTTTGAGGGGGTGCAGCATCTCTCCCATGAAAACATCTGGGCCTGCTGGGTTTCCAGCCATACATTGTGCAATGAAGCTGCCCCAACAAAGGGCATGAGGATGTGAGAAGCAGGAGGACTATTCACTTGTGAATTTTTTAAAATAAAGATTAGTTGGGAATTAATTGAGGATTGCTCTGTAAGCCTTGTGTGGTGGAAAAGGCATTATTACTACTGAACATTAGCAAAGATATCCCTAGGTGCAATTATGTTAGAATATATGAGTTGAGATTGCTTATTAAATGTATGGAAATGTAGAAAAATGTTAATGATTAGATTCAGGATATTTTAGAAGCCCAGGAAAGAAATATGTATATATAGTACAGCACTAAACCAAACAAATAAGTGTATAGGCAACTCATTATTTGTTAGGGGTTTTGGAAGAGAAAAAAAAATCCAAGCCAAATATAATTTACAGTAGAGTTTTATTGGCAGTGTAGAAAAAAGGGGCAGAAAAACATTTTAGTCTTTTAAGGTGAGTGAAATTTATCCCTACTCTTCCTGGAATGTTGGACTCTCTGCTGGACTTCAGCTCATTCCTGACTTCATGATGGCTTGTCAGCATCACCATGTCCCTGTCTAGTCTTCAGGGCCCATGGTCCCCTAGATCGGATGCCTGTACTTTTGCCATCCCCCTTCCTCTCTGTTGTGACAACACTTTTTCAGCCCACAAACAACTGCCTCTCTCAGTTTCTCATTCATTCAAGGCCCTGCATGGCCTTAACCTATCATTCTGGGATCTGTTTCTCATCACTCCCATCTGTATTTTGTACTCCAGATACTGTTTTATGCCTCCTGCTCATGTTTTTTGCTTTTATATTTCTTGTCACCTGGAAAGCCCTTTTCTGCCACTGTAGAGGCTCTGTCCTTTCTTTAAGAGCCGTGGTACACCTGATCTGCTCATGGAAGCTTTTCATGATTCCCCAGTTGTATGTGCCCTTTTCTTCTTTGATGACCAATGGATGTTTGCATCTCTCTTCAGTCACTCAATCAGTACTTTGATGTTACTAGATATTTATGAACTTATTTTTATTCTTGTTCATGATTTGCCCTCCTGTACCACCCCCACTCCCCATACCCCCAACACCCCACCCTCCACCCAACACAAGCCCACTACTTCCATAAGCTACTTAATTAAGTCACATGGTATATTATTTACTCATCAGTTTCCTAGTGAGGAACAGAATACCTCCCACTGCAAATAATTCAATAAATATGGGTTGAGTGGAAGTCACATGGTAAGTAACATGTTGACAATGGCGAATTGTGGAAGACATGGGGATGAATCCTAGAGGAGATCACCCTGGGGAGCAGTTGCCATGCTTAAGGAAAGAGTACAGGGAAACAAAGATGGGGAAGCCCAGGAGCAGCGGATGCTTGGGGGACTCAAGGAGTTGTGAGAGCCCTGCCCAGAGCCCAGGGCGGTTGTGCCTTAGTGAGTGAATGACCTGGCTGCCCACACTTGGGCAATGCCTCATCATCACCAGGTAGGCCTTGCTGTTGCTTTTTTATACCTCTGCTGGCAAGGGGGTGCCCGAGGAAAAGGGAATTCCCTTGGTAAGTAGACTGCAGACCCAAAGCTTCCCACTTCCCGTGAGTGACTCATCACTTTGAGAGGTTCTTAACAAAGGACCCTTGATTGGGGTCCCAGAGCACCAGGGAATTAATGCAGGAGCACTTTCCTGCATCTCAGTTCAGAGAAACTTTTTTTCCAAACTCATTTCTATTTCTGGCAGTAACTCTTCAGTTTGGGAACTGTAGTTCCAGCCAAAATAAAATATTGTCTCAGGTCTGTATTTTTCCTGAATAACCATGGCTTTTCTATGGAATGTGGAGACAATTTTATGTAAGACTTTGAGAGTGACAATGAAGGACCCAGATCAGTTCTCTGGCCTGACCTGCCTGCCTCTGTGTCCCAGCAAGGATGATACAGCTTCCAAAAAAAAAGGGGGGGGGGCGTCTGAGCCTCCCAAGCACAGTCCCTCCTGCAAAGGCTGGTGATGTGATTTCTCCTTCTTTCTCCAATTATTGTCCATGTGTATCTGGCTCCATTTTAAAGAAACAAAGCGATCCCCACATCTGGAGTGCATGGCTCAAACTTGTCTTTTTTATTCAACTAAAGAATGCTAATAAAGCTTTCTTTTTCAAAGTAGCTGTTTTTTATATGAATACTCATTAGTTATGCAGTTAATAATAATTCAGAGAAGCAAGTATTACACTAAGTCCTAATGGCTTCTTAAATATTACAATCATATTGATATATAAATATAATGATATCATGACATAATTAATATTAATTAATTTTTAAAATAAATAGCAGACATAATTAAGGAAGGATTTGAATGCCACAGGAGTATCTCTAGCCTAATGCAATCAACAAAGTAATAGTCATAATTTTGAAGACTAGATTCCCTTACTTCAACAAGTGAGTAAAAGACATTCTTCTGATATTATTCTGCTTCCATTAGTTGAGTTTGTCTTATGAGCCCTTCAAAACAGTTTGTAAAATGAGAAGTTCAAAAATAAAAGAATTCTGAAGTCATTTCTTTATAAGACAAACTAATGCACTCATGGTAATCCTAGGAAAATTGATTATTTTCTTAAAGTTGATTAAAATTTCAAAGTCTTATGTTGTATTAAATGGTTATCTCTTAAAATGAGAAATTTACATTCTAGACATTTTGGGAAAGTTGCTGTAATGAAATTTTTCATAGCTTGTTGTTGTTGGCTCCTACAGTTAGAAAGTTCCGCTAATATGTAGGGACTGTTCACAGAAGCTTTAGTTTCATGTTCCATAAAATTGAGCTTCCTCTCTTTACCTTTTGGAACCTAGAATATGATCCTTGAGAATTTCCATGAGTACGTAAGATTGCTAAGGAAAGGAAATAGTGTAACATGAGGAGACAAAGAAATAGTACCATCAAAGTAGACCCTTGCCTTTTGAGCTTAGCTGTAGAATTTACTAAAATCTGTTTTTGAACTGCATGTCTGGACTATCTTACCATTTAATTTTTTTTTTAATTTTTGACAGGCAGAGTTAGCAAGTGAGAGAGAGACAGAGAGAAAGGTCTAACTTCCATTGTTTCACCCCCCCAAATGGCTGCTCCAGCCGGCGCACTGTGCTGATCCAAACCCAGGAGCCAGGTGCTTCCTCCTGGTCTCCCATGCAGGTGCAGGGCCCAAGCACTTGGGCCATCCTCCGCTGTGTTCCTGGGCCACAGCAGAGAGCTGGACTGGAAGAGGAGCAACTGGGACTAGAACCCGGTGCCCCAACCGGGACTAGAACCAGGGGTGCCAGCACCGCAGGAGGAGGATTAGCCTATTGAGCCACGGTGCCAGCCTTACCATTTAATCTTGAAAGTACGGGATGTCTTTGAGACACTGTCCTGATGAGCTCATGAGGCACTTACATTATAGGTAAATATTATCATTGAGAATGTTCTTCTAACACCCACTCTGTATGTTTGAGTGTTAAAGATTTATGAGAATTGCATGATTATTCATTTTTCTGAACAGAAATCTCAATGTTTCTCCTAATTTGAAAAAAACTTTTTTTTAGAACAAATTAAATACCTATATTAAAGCTTTCCCCCAAAATATGGAGTTTTATTTGTGAATATTAAAGTGTAAGCTTTACCATGATTTATTTATTGTGATAAATACATATGCTATATTTATTTTTCAATGCATATGCATTTAAACCCACTGGATATGTGGATAATACTATATAAGAACTTCATTTAATGTGGCAAATACATTTTGAAGTAAGCACTTGAACACAGTGAATACAGTAATTGGGAATAATGGAATATAAAGAGAAAACACCATTGAAATAAATTACTACCTTCAAAAGGAAGGATGGACACAGATTTGCTAACTCGTTCATCATTTTTTGATACTCTGGACTGTAGTTGTATGTCAGTGTGACTTTTTTCAGTGAAAAATCCTGGTGATCTTGCCAAATTTGTTATTAGATATAATTTTGAATTATACAACTCTTCATTATAGAAACCTTATGTTCCATGCAGTACTCTTTTTTCATATGACATTGTTTTATAACTAAGTATATAACAGAGCTCTTTCAAAATAAAGGCATTAAAATATAATCAAGTAAGGAACAGTATCTCTAACACTCCAGGCCTTCACTGGCATGAACTTTACCAAGTTTGACATACCTCCTCACACTTAAGTCTTCTGTGTTGTAGAGGAGCCTCTCCCTCAATTGAGGGATAGTATATTCCAGAGTAGAAGGAGTTGGTTGTGTAAGTATGTGAGAGAGATGAAAATAGAGAATGGATGTCACTTCATCTGATATAAGAGTTGGAATAAAGTACAACCGTGTTGTGAAAGTATGTTTCCATATGCCATAGACACTTCTCAGATGAAGTTCCATATTTATTTATGGGACAGCTTGTAAAGTGATTTCCTGGATATTATCACATTTGGCCATTTAAGGAATCTATGAAGCTGGCAATATATAGAAAATAGAGGGATTACAACTGTTAGGTAGCAAACAAAATGACAAGGCTGTTGCCATTTTCATTCCCATAGCTATCACCACACAATAGAGCTGCAGGGCAGATTAATTATGCTGTGTGGTTACTAACGGGGAGTTTAATCATAAAAACATTCTTATTCACATTTAGTGTTTTGCAGTAAGTGCCCATGTAGGGAAGATTCCCCTTGATATTGTAATTAATATTAGGTATAAAGCAGGAAAACTTATCTTTAGGAGTGCCAAAGTACATGTGTAGAAACACACAAAACTTGACTACTCAAAAATACCCATGCACACTACCCAGAAGACGAGATGTGTTTGTGTATTCCTGTGGCAACTTCCCTTCTGTTTACCCCATGTAAGACAGCTCTTTTCTAGAGAGCAGGTACTTGTACGCTTCAGCTACATTGTACAGTGCTTCCAAGTGTGGTCAAGTGAGATTTGAGCAAGGCTTCTTTTGAGTTGTGTTTTGCCAATTTTGATTCTCTATTACTTCCAAAGCTGAGTTGCCAATCCCTCAAGTAACACCAGTGTAGAATTATTATAAATGATTCCAATATCTATCCTGAAAGAAACATGTTCTTACAATCAGGAGAAATGTGTAGTTTCTTCCCATTGGTGTGAAACCATTTCTCTACTTTTACATTCTAATATTGAGATCCCAAAGGGAAGCTCTTTGTGCTATAATTTTTTCTGTGCTTTGGGATGGACATATCTATTATTTAATTTGAAGAACAAAACATTTGGATGTGGTGATCATTGCTGGATATCCCAATAATCTATGTGTAGCAATTGTTAATGCATGTACACTTGTGTTACATGTGATTGAAAAGAAATATATTTCACTATGTACAACAGTGCTGAGGATTTTCTTTGTACACCATGGCTTCAGCAGAGCAATTTATATATTTCAATGGATTCTTTGTCAGATCAACACAGCAAGGAAGTATAAATAATGACTCAGAAAAATGTTTGAGCATTACAGTTGAACTTTAGAATACCACTGTATGTGGAGGGTGGGACTTATGTCCCAAGATGGTGACCCACCATGGGAACTTCCACCCTCATAGTAAGATGGGCAACAGACTCTGCCCCAAGGTGGTGGCCCCCATGACCAACCACATGCTACATGCCTGATTAATAGAGCAATGTATATTAAATCATATTTTATTATGTTAGCTTGTTACTTTCACCTCTGAGCTGGATTTTATTATGTTAGTTTGTTATTTTCACCTCTGAATGAGATTTTACAATGTTATTTCCTTATTTTTACCTCTGAGTGTGATTTTATACATTAAGCTCTATAATAGGTATAGTAGCTCTGAGATGTCAGATTACCTGTTAAGGTAGATGATCAGATATATAACTGGGCCAAAGCTTAGCCCTATTTACCTCCTGTCTCCCCAGGTTATAAGGTGATTTTAAAAGATTTATTTATTTATTTGACAGGTAGAGTTACAGACAGTGAGAGAGAGAGACAGACAGAATGGTCTTCCATCTGATGGTTCACCTTCCAAATGGCCACAACAGCTGGAGCTACGCTGATCCAAAGCCAGCAGTCAGGTGCCTCCTCCTGGTCTCCCATGTGGTGCAAGGGCCCAAGCACCTGGGCCACCCTCAATTGCTTTTTCTGGGCCACAGCAGAGAGCTGGACTGGAAGAGGAGCAACCAGGACTAGAACCCGGTGTCCATATGGGATGCTGGCTCTGCAGGCAGAGGATTAGCCTAGTGCACCACAGCGCTGGCCCCACAAGGTGATTTAGCTATGGATAGTTCTACATCTGCTCCTTTGGAGACTCCATGACAGATCCACACTTAATAATTGGGAGGCCCTTCGACTAGATGGGATTAAGAAATTATAGCTAATGCAATGTATCCATGTAAAATGCTAAGAATAATTAAGCCCATGAAGACCTGTGTCTGTTTTTATTTTCTCAGGTCCTACAGAGACTGTAAAGCTGTATAGCTCTGCATACATTCCTACAGACTTACTTCTAAGGGTACAGTTTAAAACTTGATATGGGATCGCAAATCCCCTTGGGCTAGATGGTAATGTTAACATCTTAAGTTTTAAAGTGATCCTGTCTATAGGATAAAGTATTAACTGCTAATAGTAAATAAAATTAAAGAGGAGTGAATGCTCCAATATGGGAGGGAGTCCTTACAGCAGACTCACAGAGTGGCAATCTCCTTAAGTAACACTCAGTGACCTCAGAATCACCCCTGAAGGCATTCTGGTCTGGCTAGAAAGCCCACAAGAGCATTTCAGGCATGGAAATCCAGGGCACTCGTGGAAAAAGTGTCCCTATGTGGAGAACCTCCCTGGGTGAGACCCCAGTGGAAAGGAGTGGTCATCAAAGTAGAATGTACTTTTCTCCAGAGGGAGGAGAGGACTTCCACTTTGCTTATGGCCTTGTCTGAATACTGATGGAGTTTGTGAAACTCAAAAGGCTTCCATGGCCTAGGCAGCTTATGTCAAGAGCCTCAGGTGATCACTGATGTCACACATAAGAGTGTTAATTGTTAAATTAACAACAGGAGTCACTGTGTACTAACTTCCCATGTAGGACCTCTGTTCTCAAAAGAGCTACAGTATTAACATTAATGGTAAAACTTAATTCCAAAGATTTACTTTGTGCTATTGTGTGATATTATGCATCATAAGTTCTAGTTGTGGCTAAGTGTCAAGCTCCATTGCCTGTATTCTTAGGTATTTATTTAAAGTTTATTAAGTGCCTCAAATGTAAAATCTTGGATACATGTCTCTCTGTGAAATTTCTGTCTCATATGTTTTAACATAGGGTCAGCTATTTAAAGGCAGCTGAGGAGATTTCTGAGAATGATGAAATTCTGTGGAATTTGGATTCCAAGATTTGAATTCCAAGCTTTTGTATACAACTTTAAAGAGGCCCTGATGCAGACTCTGTACTGAAAAGTGTAGCTACAAAAGTTGTTATGGATTCCAGGATTTGGATTCTAAGCCTTGTGTTTGCTTAAAAAGCCTCTGACATAGACACAGTGTGCTGGGCATGGGAGCTACAAAAGCTGTTCCAAGGAATCACGGAGTTTTTAACAAAAACTCCAACATTAACAATTCCTGAGCAAACCATTCATAAGATTCTCTTCAGATCAGTTTCAGCTTAAATGAAAGGGATCTTACCAGGTGATATTGAGCATGACTACCTCCATTAAATTAGGATTAAACTTCTGCCTCTTAAATATTCACAGGTGAATGCGAAATACATGCCTGATTATTCCTGTAAGCCAATCAGAGACCTTAGTACCTCTTCAAAGCAATAAGGATAAGTAAAGTTTTGCCTTTGTCACATCAAGACTGCTGTACCTTAAGGCAAAAATGCTGTACCTGCATTTCTTCATTATCTCTGGGAACTGTTATTGATAATAAAGCTACCTAATGAGTTATTCTATTGTAATTCTCTATACTCAAGCTAAATGGGTTACAATCTACATAAGGGTAACTTATCACTATCCACTATCTGGGAATCTGAAAAATACATTGTTTTCATCTTAAGGGGCACCCCACTTATAATTGGTTTTGTTCCAGTTTTGTTTATGCTAATCAGCAAACTTATATGTTTCAGAACTCAACTTCTGGGAGTAACTGACCATGCAGGGGACACAGACATTGGCAATGACCAAGACTGCTCCCGCTCACAAAGCAAATTTGTTAGATAGGCTATGCAGAGAATTCCAGACCCTGGATAGGCAGGGCCTGCACTATGCCCCCATAAGCAGGAAGCATTTACAGAAGAGATAATTCTACACCTATCAACTTCCCTTAGGATTAAGGGATGAAGTCTCTGAGGGGGAAATGAAGTAGACAGGCATACAGGTTAAAATTGATTAGGCTTGTGAGCTGGAAGACCAGCCTTTGCCACGCCCCTGTGTGACCTCATGCCCCTACCTGGCCACATCTGAGCACCCACTGGCCAATCAGGTTAATTAGCCACTCTCCTTTGATAATGGATTAAAAATCTGTGACATAGTGTGTCTATCCCCCCTTTTATTCCTTTTTGTCACCCTGGCCTCTTGCCAGTAGGGGGCTGGCTGTAGCCCTGTGCCTTCAGGGTGTTAGGGTCAGAAAAAGCCCACCGCCTGAGGAACGACTCCAAGAGACTTTTCTCTCATGCAACCAGCAAAGGGTTAAAGATTTATTGATCCAACATGTTGGGGCTCTCTGAACATACAAGGACAGAGGAGCCCCGAGGAACTACAGCATAGGGTTTATAAAGGCAAAAACCGCAAAATCGGGAGGGGGGAGAGAATACACGGTTGCTAAGCGGTTGCTAATATCTTACAATCAGCAATTATGATCTTAAGACATAGACAAATCACATCTTCATTATTAGCTCAGGTAACCCAGGTGCAACCTTTTTATTTTTAAGCTTGAGCAATCATGCTAGGGGGTTTTTGTGCGTTGCCAAGGGTGATGTAGTGCACTGCTATTGTCTGACTATTTGAGATCATAGTTTCAGACCAGTCTCACGGTGTGGGGGGTGCTTTCCCAGAATGGAGTCTCAAGTGCTCCAAAATGGAGTCCCTACTGTCAAGGTGCTACTTCACTCTGTTTTATTTTCACAGCTGCACCAGGAAGGTTTAAACCTGTAAGCTTAAGCTTAACTTTTTACACCCGCACATATACAATTTTAACTCTTCACAGGGCACATGGCCTTCGGGCCAACCTGCCCTATGCTTCCTGGCCTGGATGCTCTTCCATGTGGCTGGTTCCTGGTACTTGGTGTGAATGCAGATCTATCTCTCTCCTAGAAATAAAGCCCTCACTCTCCTATGCATCTTTCACACTAAATAAAAGCTTAAAATGTAAAAAAAAAAAAATAGAATACCACTCTAAATACTAGTGTCTGATCATTAACATCACTTGTGAAAGAAGTAACACTATCCTCTTAGACTCATCAAACTTCTCTCTTAATGTGTTCTCACTATCCAACATTGTATGACAGCTTTTGAACACCAGGATTTCATTTTTTTTGAAATAGTAAAGTGTTGCAGCCTTGAGTATGATGGAACAGGTTAATAGGGGCTTCAGGTAGCCAGTTGTTAAATTTTCTGGAAGTTCAAGAGCTGTTTGATGTCATCTTAGCTTTCAGCTTTGAAATTCCCTGTGTGCAGGGAACATGTTTCATGGAACGTGGCCAATTGTACAAGTCAGAGCAATTTCCCCATTCTGCACCACACAGATTAGTTTTAAATAAAGAGGATTCTGAAATTTCTTTAGTGAGTGATGATCAAAATTCTAGAAGTGTTTTTATGTATGTACCAAAAAACTTGCATACATTTGACTAAATTCATCTGTTATAAATGATGATTCAATTTAAAACATTTAAAATATTTAAACTATAAATCTGAGAGGATTTCAAAGGGTTCATGGAAAATGGAATTAAAGTGTAATTTTATTTTGGGGTACAAAAGATTTGGAGCTATGCATGTTGGAAATCTTTAAAGTTCATGAAAATTGCATATTATTTAAAAAGTGTATATAGTTTTTATTTTATTTATTTATTTATTTATTTATTTTGACAGGCAGAGTGGACAGTGAGAGAGAGAGACAGAGAGAAAGGTCTTCCTTTAGCCGTTGATTCACCCTCCAATGGCCACCGCGGCTGGCGCGCTGTGGCCGGTGCACTGCGCTGATCCGATGGCAGGAACCAGGTACTTCTCCTGGTCTCCCATGGGGTGCAGGGCCCAAGTACTTGGACCATCCTCCACTGCACTCCCTGGCCACAGCAGAGAGCTGGCCTGGAAGAGGGGCACCCGGGACAGAATCCGGCGCCCTGACTGGGACTAGAACCTGGTGTGCCGGCGCCGCAAGGCGGAGGATTAGCCTACTGAGCCGCGGCGCCGGCCAAAAGTGTATATAGTTTTAAAAGTTCTTCACACTGACATAAACTTATCTTTTTAAAAAACATTTATTTGAGAGGTAGAGGTGTTTATATCAATATATTTAAATTACACTAGGTAGCAATGACAAACATTCAAGTTTATTTGGTATACAATGATTAACAACAAAATTTCTCTTCATATTTCTCTATAGCTAAGGCTGCTCAGAAAGATATTTTAAATATAGTGAGTTTCAAATGTAGGCTTACTTTCTTCAGATTAGGAAGTTATCATGCATTTAAAATAAATGCTATTGAACATAAATTACAAAGAAAGAGTACTTTTTCAGATTATACTTTTACTTTTTTTAAAAGATTTATACATTTACTTGAGAAGCAGAGTTACAGAGAGAGAGGTCTTCCATTGCTGGTTCACTCCCCAAATGCCTGTAATGGCTGGAGATGAGCAGATCCAAAGCCAGGAGCTTCTTCCAGGTCTCCCATGCAAGTGCAGAGGCCCAAGCACTTGGGCCATCTTCTGCTGCCTTCCCAGGCCACAGAGAGCTTGATCGGAAGTGGAGCAGCTGGGATATGAACTGGTGTTTTGGGATGCTGGTGCTGCAGAAGGAGACTGTGTCACAACCCCAAAAACTTATCTTTTAATTTCATTCTCCCTGAATTATTTGCACACATACATAAAATATATATAAACATTTTTAGTTTGACTTACTTTGAAAGTAGATGACAATGTCATTAAATTATATTTAAAAACTGACATGCTTCAGTTTGAGGCGTTTTTAGTAACAGAGCTATAAAAAGATATTATGAGAGAAATAAAAGCACTCAGACCTGCTAAAACACTTTTATTTCTTACTTAACCCTAACTGATGGGCCAAAGGCATTGTGAGCACAGCCAAGTTTTTAAAAATATGTATTAGTAGAAAGAGCATCACCTCCTTTATAAAATGAATTTCATTTTTTAAGAAAAGAAAGATGCATTTTACTAAATGCTACATGTCAAGTGACAGTGAAGTGGTTTAAGTGGAATTAAAATACCAGTAAATGTGTCAGTAAAAATTTCAGTTGAGGGGCCAGCATTTTGGTGTGATAGGTTAGGCTGCCACCTGCAAAGCCTGCATTCC